AAAAAAAAAAAAAAAAAAAAGGTTAGAGTTCGCAGGAAGTGGGTAGATTGTGTGGGCTCACGCTACAGACCTCTGGTAGATGGTCACTTATGGCTTTGCTAAGTAAAAAGAAGAATTATTACTAGTACAAACATTTGGGCCGAAAGAAGCATTGCAAACATGAAGTCTTGGAGTATGAAGAAGAAAAGGGGTCTCTGGTCACTGAAAAGTCTTGGGGATCCAGTGGTCTAGTATACTGATCAGTGCTGTCTGGTTGGCAGATCGCCTCTTTTAAAGTTTGGTTGTGTTTTGTTTTGAAATAGCAAAAGTAACACATGGGCATTGTCACTAGGCTTCCCTCAGAAATCCCGCGGCAGAATTTTTAAGCAAAGTTTCGACAGGATGATGATGCTGGTACCACAGTGCCAAGAGCCCACCCTGCGCAAAGGGACTCACTGCAAATTTAAGACAGAAGAGGCTTTTGGAAGTGATCAAGTTCAAACCCCTATACGCCCCTTCCTTCTCAAGGAGAAGCCGAGAGGCCTAAAGCAGCAAAAGCTCGTCTGCCTTCCATGCCCTAGCCCTCCTGGAGCTGTACATGTCGGGTGTCAGACCAGGATCCATCCTGGCCATCCGTCTGGGGGATGAATCACAGTCACCAGAGTTCTTTCCAAACACATCAGCGTCATCTCCACTTTCCCTGTATTTCCTCTCTGTGACTTAGAGGAATACCTCTCTGCCTGCGTGTATCAGGGCCAACAAAGCCACAAACAGGCAGAGGGCAAGTGGGTTCCCCAGAGGCACGTTTTCAGAACTACTTGGAGAGTAGTTCCCTCATGTGGAGATGCTGGTTGAGTACCAGAGCTGAAGCCTTAGAATCTAAATTATTAGCGGAGCCAAGCAAGTTTTGGGGGACCCAGGGCTGCTCCAGGCTTTCACTGACAGTTCTGTGTCCTAGAGTGGACACTGGGGACAGGGAGTCCATTGGGGTGATCCATTTGCCCCATTATCCCTTACAGCACCTTCCTTTCCCAGCAGAACCTAATTCCTGGCCGCACGCGGCAGCTCAGACACGTTACCTGGCCTATTTTGGGAAATGATTGGAGCAGAGGACGCCCAGTGTAGCCTGGCTGACATTAACATCTCTCTTTGGCTTTGTGCTTAGACTAAAGAACTTGGAGCTGGCTGCCGTGGGAGGATCAGACATCCGCGTGAGGATGCTGGCGGCCCCTATCAATCCATCTGACATAAATATGATCCAAGGTAACCTTGGTTTCTGGGGCTCATGTTAATTGGCTTTTTTGCTCAGCTGCCACTTCATTTCCTTCCTCCTCAGGTATGAGTGTGAAATTCCTGTGATTAACAGTAGCTGTTCTCCAGAGGAGCCATGTACAGAGTGCGTCAGCCCTCCCTAACCTCCCTTCTCCGAACATGAGGCTTTGAGAGAGTCGGGAAGATTGCAGTGGGGCATAAACCAACCTCTGTGGAGTGCTGGCCATGTGCTGGCCTCCTTTCTTATGTTACTTTAGCTTCAGGGAGACCATGAACACTATAAAGGGTCTCAGCCCTGTGGACAGATGAGGAAGCCGAGGCTCAGAGGTTAGTCAGGTGGATGGCTGGTAAGAGGCAGAGCCCCATTTAAATTCCAATCTGAGTAATTCCAAAGTCTATGCTTTCAGCTCAACAAGCCTATACTCCTGCACTCTGGGAGGCTGAGGCAGGAGGATCACAAGTTCAAAGGCAACCTGAACTACATAGTGAGACCCTGATTAAAAACAAAAACAAAATAAAACAAAGTCTTTCCCTGCCCACATTTCATTGGATGACCCTTTGCTTTCTTCTCCCCCAGGGAACTATGGACTCCTTCCCAAGCTGCCTGCTGTTGGAGGAAATGAAGGTGTTGGACAGGTGGTAGCAGTGGGTAGCAGTGTGACTGGGTTGAAGCCAGGAGACTGGGTGATTCCATCAAATCCTGGTTTGGGTGAGTTTCCCCCGCTGGCAGCAGTCTTTTCCTTCTCCCTGACCATGTTTTACCCGCTCTGGAGACTGCTCATTGGTCAGTGCAGGGCTTCCTATTAAGTTCCTGCATTGCTTTATAAGGGATGCCAGCTGGGAGTGAGCAGAGCAGAATGCTGTTCCTTTTGCTCTGGAGGTGGTGTTACCCCCGCTTCTCCTTGGGTCCAGGCTGATGGGAGTTGTAATTCTCTCAATCCCTACATCCCTAAATCCCTGCCGTAAAGTGCAGTGAGAGAGTATAGATAAGGTAATCCCTGCCCTCCAAGATGCTCAAATCTAATAGAAGAAATCTCTAAACCAATAACTTCAGTAAAGGAAGTGCTCCAAGCTCACAGGAAGCAGGGGGCACTTCTGACTACTTTGCATACACTCATGTGTGTGTGTGTGTGTGAGAGTGAGTTTATCTTGGGGAAGGATCGAAAATGGGCTTTGGGGAGGATGCTTCATTAGAACAGATTTTTGTTTGTTTGTTTTTTGTTTTTTTTGAGACAGGGTCTCACTATGTAGTTGAGACTGACCTAAAACTCAGTTTGTAGCCCAGGTTGGTCTCAAACTCACAGCGATCCTCCTGCCTCAGCCTCCCGAGTGCTGGGATTACAGGCATGTGCCACCATACCAAGCTAGAACAGATTTTTGATGGATAGATTTTGTTAGGCGGAGATGAGTTTAGAATCATTTCTCATAGCTGGGCGTGGTGGCACACGCCTGTAATCCCAGCACTTGGGAGGCTGAGGCAGGAGGATCACTGTGAGTTCAAAGCCAACCTGGGCTACATAGTGAGTTCCAGGTCAGTCTCAACTACGTAGTGAGACCCTGTCTCAAAAAAAAAAAGAATCATTTCTCATGGAAGAGGTAAAATAAGCGAAGACACAAAGGTGAGTTTGGCAGGTGGTGGCAAACCCAGTGCAGCCTCAGCAGAGGACATGCACGTGACGGAGGGTGCACAAGTGATAAAGAAGGCTTAGAAGTAGAGGGGGCCACATGGGGTGAGGCTCTGCAAACCCCAAGCTGAGGGGTAGGATTTTCATCATGTATAAAACGGAGTCATTAGTGTGTTTCCACACTTAGACAGCTTTGTTTGTTTTTGCAGCACTGGGGGTCGAACTCCAGGCCTTCACACTAAACTACATCCCAGTTCTTTTTTTTAGTTTTTATTTTGAGACAAGATCTTCCTAAGTTGCTTAGTTACCCCGGCAGGGCCCAGACTTGCAATCCTTCTGCCTCAGCCTTCCTGGAATTACAGGAGTGTGCTACCATGCCCAGCTCACTTACTGGTTTCTGAGGCACACCCATTATACAAATAGGTCTTCACAGGCAGGTATGGTGTGCACACCTGTAATCCCAGGTCCCTGGGAGGGAGGAGGATCAAAGTCCTACTTGAGGAATTTAGCAAGAAATCATCTCAAAATTTTAAAAAGGGCTGGGGATATAGCTCAGGGGGAAGGCCCTGGGTTCAGTGCCCAGTGCTGGGAAAAAGCCAAAAAAAAGGGGGTCTCCACAGCAGAGGCAGACACCTCCCGCCCTGCTGGCCATATGGGAAACTGAAGCTTGGGACGTGAAGCTTGCCTGGACTCCCAACAGCAAAGCGAGAGCAAGCACTGGATTCTTGTCTTCTGTGTCTGCCCCCTTGTGTCAGGGCCCTTTAGGTTATGACTTACAGAGGCCTAACTGAAACTTGTTTTTAAAAATAGTTTAGGAGCTGGGGATTTAGCTCAGTGGTTCCACCACCTACCTCACAAACTCAAGGTCCCGAGTTCAATCCCTGGTACCAAAAAAAAAGGTAGTATAGGTGCTGGGGATTTAGCTCAGAGATACTACCGCCCGCCTCACAAGCACAAGCGCCTGAGTTTGATCCCTGGTACCAAAATAAATAGTTCAGTTGATCTGTGGAGCTGGGAAGTATAAGAGTGAGAACACCTCAGGCACAGCTGGACCCAGGAAGTTAATGCTGTCAGAGATCTGTCTGCGTCTTGTCACTAGTTCTCAGATGAGATCTCCCCCACAGAGGAGTAAATCATAGCAACAAGTATGTACTGACCATTCCCTTTGAGCTGGGCACTGTTCTAAGACCTTTAGTACATGAACTCCGTTATTCCCTCACCACAAGATATATACTTTATTAAGGTGAGACCAATGTAAACATAAAGAATTAGGAAGCTTGCTCAAGGTCACCCAGTCAGTAAGTGGTAGAGCTCAGGTTGAAAGCCTCTCTAACCTAGACCTTTCCTAGATGGCCACCAGCCCCCAGAGGTGTATATCATCCTGTGAACAAATAAACCAACCTCCACAATGACATGCAGCATAACTGTCCATATCCCCTAGCACAGCCCTGCCTGGCCCTATCTGCTCCTTGGCCGTCCATGAGCCAGTCAGCTGGGGTGTGGGTTGGGCCACTCCTATTACCCTGGCTGAGCCTTGCCCACCTCTGTAGGAGTAGAGTGAGAGGCCTCGCAGGCAGGTCAGAGAGAGGTTGGGAAGGAGCACCAGGCAGCAACCAACAGTGACAGGTTCTGCTACTCTGAGCTCAGGGAAGCTGTCGAGCATGGCTCCTCCCACTCTCATGCTTACTGGCAGGTAAATAGCCCCGCTACCTGATCACAGGGAGAGCTGTGAGGACTCGGGGACTGATGCCAGCACTGTAAGCCAACACCTGCACTGAGTGAAGGGCATCCAAAATGGGTCAGAAGTCCCTTCCCTCAGGGCGCTCTTGGCTGGGGTGGGAGGCCCAGAAATGGAAAACAGCACATAATGCAGGACGGTATATGAAGTATGATCGAAACAGAGGGGGGATGTTTAAATTTTTTTTAATTATGTAGTAAAAGATACATTGTTAATCCCCCTCAAAATAGTCTTCTTCACACTGAGTACACTCATCGCACCGTTCTTGCTGCTTTCTGAAGCAGTTCTGGAAGTCCACTTTCATGAGTGGCTTTATGAGGTGCAATAAAAAATGTGGCGAATGTTGCTGCCCAGCGCATCCCATGGAGAGACAGACTCATAAAACATTATAGTGCGCCCTCATTCACCTTACTCACCACTTCTGGCTCTGTGCAACTGCTGGCTCTTCCCCAACATCAAAATGACTATGACAGGGGCCAAGGGTTCCAGCGCCTGCCTTACAAGTGCAAGGGCCCGAGTTCGATCACCGGTACCCAAAAAAAAAAAAAAAAAAATGACTATGACAGGTTTTGAATGGACTCAGGACGTCAGGACTGCCACCGAACACCAAAGACACAAAAGAGGACCTCCAGGACTGTTGCAGAAAGTGGGGAGAACAGTGGGATAAGTGTGTTGTTGGGGGAATGAGTGGCAATGTGTCTGTTACTATAATCTTTTCTGTTTTAATTTAAACATTCACTGTATTTTTCAGTCTCGCCTCTTAAGTGCTGACATCACACAGTGGACACAAGGCAGGGTGCCCTGTTGGGAAAGATTCCCAGAGCCATGATAATTGAACTTGGTCTAGAAGCCCAACTAGATGTGCATCAATGGGCCAGATGGGCAGGGAGGGGCTTCCCAGGCTGGGAGCAAAGCGTGTGCAAAGGTAGGATGATGGGAGAATGCACAGCAGTGTCAGAGCCACAGGCAGCTCCAGGATGCTGGGCCCTGGGCGGGAGCGAGAGAGAGCAAGATGGAGCCGGAGAGGTCAAGTTCGCTGGGTCATGCGAAACTGGAGCACATCCAGTTAGAGGGATCCTGACAGAATCAAGAAGAGGGATGCTGTGACCAGATGTGAGCAGTATAGAGAGTGACGTGGGAAGTCAGAGGGTGGCGGAAGAAGGCCAGTGAGGAGGTGGGCGTGAAGTTAAGGCTTCTGTGAGGAGGATCTGAGCAAGACAGTGCCGCAGGGCTTGGAGAAGAGGAGCAGGTTCAAGTGCCAGAGCTGGGACTCAGTCGTACTTTAGGTCTGGAGAGAAGAATAAAGGACACGCCAGGCGTGGGGGTGATGGAGGAGCAGTGCTGGGGCAGCCGCCTAAAGAATTCCTCCTTGGAGAAAGGGCAAGTGTTTAAGCAAGGTGCCACTCGGGGAGGACGAGGATTTCGTAATCATGAGAACTATAATTAACTTAGTTTTCAGTAAACAGTTCATGCGGACTATAATTAACCCAGTTTTTCACTAAACACTCTGTGAACAAAGTACTAGGCTCTAGGACACAGCGTGAACACAGTCTTCTGGACAGGTTGGTAAGAGTGTTAGTCATCAAACACACAAGCCCTGCCAGCTTTCAGTCATGTCCCACCGTCCTGAGCCGCTGGCCGTGCCCATAGCCAGCTTTTCTCCACATGCAACTGGGCCTGAAAGTGTGGCTAGACATTTGGGAAACACTCAGAACCTTTCGGAGGCAGGATGGGGCCATGGGAAGCAGTGGCCTGGCAGGCATCTGCAAATTCTCCATCCGACCCACATGCAACTGGGCCTGAAAGTGTGGCTAGACATTTGGGAAACACTCAGAACCTTCGGAGGCAGGATGGGGCCATGGGAAGCAGTGGCCTGGCAGGCATCTGCAAATTCTCCATCCGGCTCTGCCTCAGTTCCTTCTTCTTTTAAACAGAAATAATTGTTGCTGCCTTGCATATATCAGCAGACTCTTGACCTCATCATGCCTCGTTCCTGCTCTCTTTTCTCCGAGCCCTTTTCTTGATCTCCTCTCCTCTCCTATCTCTCTCCCACCATCTTTGTCCTTTCCTGACTTTCTCCATTTCTTCAATGTAACAAGCATACAGACTTGAGCACCCCTCTGGTGTACTTCCAAGAACTGTGAAATCTATGTTCATCCAAATGTATCCCAAAAAGTCCCTCTATGTATTTAAAAAACTGTCGCTTCTCCTTGGAAATAGATTCCAGCCATTCCCAAAGAGCTTTGTTTTCTTTGGTTTCTGTAATAGCAAGTGTTTTGAAGGAACATTTTATACCTGGCTTCTAGTTATACTAGAAGTCACATCCAGTAGGAACTCCTCCTCCTTCTTTTTGTTCAGTTGGTTGTTGAGAAGCTTCAAACACCAATCTTCAACTGTAATCTTTTCAAACACATCTACACATAAATCACACATTTCAGTAAGCATTTTCAAGACTATTGGCCACTTGGGTTTCTTTGGTGTTGGCGAACTAGCCTAACCATCACTTAGAGACTTTATCTCTAATGCAGTATTTTTTTTCCTTTTATGCTAAACATGAAGATCCTGATTTTGTGTGGATGCATTATTTTGGATGTGAGAACTGAAAATGCCAATTATGTGCTTTCCCTTTCCTATACAAATTTTGGGGAAATGCAAGATCCTTTTTTTTTTTTCGGTACCAGGGATCGAACTCAGGACCTTGCATTTGCAAAGCAAGCAGCAGCACCACTGAGCTAAATCCCTGGCTCAGATCCTTCATTTTTAATGTGGTTTTCAGAAACAACTGTAAGTTCATTTAGGGGCAGTTTGATTTAGATGATCAAGCCTTTAATGGAACATGCTTCCCCCTCCCGCTTGAGTTCCTGGTCCCTCAAGCCCACATCGTTTCCCCTCCTGCAGCACTGAGCTGCATTGACTGAGCTGCCCCTTCTTTCTGTAGCCAGGCACACAAACCCAGAAGAGTGTAGAATCCCAGCAACTGGAGAAAGTGGGCGATCTGGAGAGAGTGTGCTTTGAAAGTTACCCTGAGACATCACAACCATCAGGCACAGAGCCAGCAAGGCTTCACACAATTTCCCTAAGGTGACGTGGCAAGAACACAGTGGAAGCAAGGCTTGGGTTTGACCCCACAGCCTGTCCTCTTCACATCGTCCAGTGGCCTGCTTGCATGAGGGATCCCATTCCCACCCAGTCCTCATTTGATGCTGCAGGTTCTGTCCACAGAGGAGAACTCGTGTCCCCACTTCATCCCCACTGCCAGAGTGATGGTCTTAACCTTGACCCCAGCCAAAGCTCCCATCAACCAGCCTGGACTACATAGCAAGAGACCTTGTCTAAATAAATAAATGAATGGGCTGGGAATTTAGCTCAGTGGCAATGTGCCTGCCTTGCAAGTGCAAGGTCCTGAGTTTGATCCCCAGTACCAAATAAATAAATAAATTGAATGAATGAATGAATGAATGGTTTATTTTGGCTCACAATTTCAGAGCTTCCAGTCCATGATTTTGGGGCCCATAGTGGCACAGTACATTGTGATAGGATGGGGCAGAGGAGGCCTGCTCACATCACAGTGCCCAGGACAAAGACAGAGGAGGAGCTAGGGTCTGGGTCCCAACATGTCCTTCGAGGCATCCTCCTCATCTCACCCCCGTGAGCAAGCCTTTGACACATGGGCCTGCGGAGGACATTGGAGATCCAAACCGTAGCACATCGTTAGGGTACATACTGCTTCAGGAAACATAGGCCCCTGTTGTATATACTGATGCAGGCAGAACTCAGTGACCATGGACGGAGACCATGAAAGATGGACATTCACCCAGCCCTTGCCCGGTCAGCCCCACCAGCCTCCTCTCAAGCTACTTCATCACTCTTCCCGCCAGTGCAGTCCCAGTCTTATAACTGACTGGCCTCATAGTCTTTGCCTCTGCTTTTCCCTCTTTCTAGAATGCTCTTTATGTACTCCTGAGTGCTTACTGTATCACCTCCTCAGAGAATCCGTCCATGGCTCTCGCTGCTACTGTCAGCATCTTCATGAGTTAATTGTACTTCTTGTATTTGCTTGTTTTTCACCTACTGCGTTAGAATGAAAGTAAGGTACATAGCTGAGCATGGTGGAGCACGCCTGTAATCCGAGCACTATGGGAGATTGAAGCCCCACCTGGGCAACTTGGTGACTTAGCAAGATCCTGTCTCTCTAAAGAGTGGCTGGGGATGTGGCTCAATGCAATCCCCAGTGCTTCAAATAATAATAACAATAATGACAGTGAAAGAAAAGTAAAAAGGAACAAACAAGGGTATGTGCAGCCAAGTGCCTAGTTTGGGGATGTATGCCTAGGACCTAGCTCCAGCTCTACCCAGATTAGCTTAGTGGCTTTGGGCAGGGCACTCCCTCAGTTTCTTGCCCTGATGCACAAGGGGTTTGCATGCAGGTGGGTATTGGAACTTGGTAAGGGCCTTCTTGGTACTAACATTCTGTGATTCTCTTGTCTGGAACTGGAATGTGGGACAGGTGTTAAGGGTTTCTTCATTTTCTGTACCTCCTTTGATTGTGCAATGCTCCAGGCCTGTCAGGCTGTTCTTGCCATTGTCATTTACATGTAAGAGGCACAAGCTCAGTATCTTAGGCCTGAGCCAACAGCTCAGTGGTAGAGTATTTGCTTGCCAGCCCAAGGCCCTGGGTTTGATCCCCAGTACCACCAAAAAAAGACAGAAGGAGGAAAAATTATAACACCTCAATAGTTTAGGAATTTGATTAGAGTAGCAGACTAGAAAAAACAGGAGCCAGATGTAGGCCCTTCACTCTGTCTACCTGTCAGTCTGCCTTGAAGAAAAGAACGAGGTCTGCAAAGAGAACGGGATTTTCTCAGCTCCTCTGGCCCTGGTGATGACAGTACTCTCCTGCTCATGTAATCCAGTAGTCCAAGGTCCTTAGCCACCTGCACTGTGACATTAGCTAAACCTAGTGGTAGCTTGGAGAGGCAGCCTCTCTAGCCCCCTTAGCACATTTTTTAAGTGGGAATAACATGAGGGTGCAGCGACGTCAAAGGGGACTTCAAGATGTCCTTTTCCCTCTAAGCATTAACTGAATTCTGCTGTCCTAGAGCCTGTGTACCCAGGAGGGCGGGCTGGAGTCAGGCACAGAGGAGTCCTTCCTCAATTCCCTGGCCTCATCCCCTGACTCAGGAACCTGGCGGACCGAGGCTGTGTTCAGTGAGGAAGCCCTAATCAAAATTCCCAGTGACATCCCTCTTCAGAGTGCTGCCACCCTGGGTGTCAACCCCTGCACAGCCTACAGGATGTTGGTGGACTTCGAGCAGCTACAGCCAGGTAGGAACCTACGGGGATCCCCACTGGGCTGGGACACAAATCCCGACCCTGAAGCCATGGGAAGTTGCCACTGAGGGGCCTGGGAGGATGACAGCCCTGACCTGGATGAGTGTTACTGCTTTTACTTAGGTAGATGTGAGCTGGGTTCCTAGAAAACATGCTGAAAGCTCACAGGAACTGCACTCTTGCAAACCGCTAAAAGCTCATTCCCCAGAGCTGGGGATGGAATGCTGTCACACAGCAATAAATATGCTGATCTGTGCTAAGCTCTGGGGATACAAAACCAGACAAGACAGACACAGTCCCTGTGTTTTCAGTAAAATGCTGAACTTAGTGTTAATGATTCTGCTCAGCATTTGTATTGTACTTCCTGTTCCTACAAGTACCTCTGCGGGCTTGACCCTGTGGAGTGCATCACAACTCCAACAAAGCAGTACTTTGAGCTTAGTATTATTGGTTGAAAGCTCAAGCCCAAGGCAAAAATCCTAGGCCTGTACCCAAGTGCACCTTTCACTAACTGTGAGAATGCACCACCCACAGTGTCCAGGTTTTCATCAGTAAGATGGAGAATGAGGGGTCTGAGAGCCAACAAAACACTGCAGGATAACATTTAACCCAGGGTCTCCACTATGGTGCTGTGTCTGTCAGCTGCTGTTATCAGTCTTCCTTTTATCAGTGGAGGAACAGAGATCCAGAGAGGGAAACTGTTTTCATGAAGTCACTCAGCATGTAAATGACAAAGCCAGGTGTTTCACTGGGATTCTCCTGAAAGCAGAGCCTGAGACCAGAAGTGGGGGCAGACAGGTCATTCGGGATGTGGTCCCGGGAAGCAGAAGTGGGGGAGTGAAGACAGCAAGATCACGACAGAGGCAAAGCCCAGGAAGGCCGGTTGCTACCCGAGGCAACCTGGGCTCACTCCTGCTGGGGATCCTCTAATGACAGGAGCCTGGGCCAGCTTTCCTCAGGCTCCCATTCCCCCACTGGCTTTTGATTTTGTTTTTTTGTTGTTTTGTTTTGTTTTTAAATAATGCTGAGGCATGGTCCCAGGATCCATTCTACTGAGCTTCACGCTGGCCCCTGTGTCCTTCACAGTTTGTCATTCTTGCACAGTGTACGTACCTGTGACCTGGAAGGGGATACGGAAATCACCTATGCTACCTCTGTCATCCTGGCAAGGAAAAGTCACCAAAAACTGTCAGAATGTGATAAAACCAGGTAGCCAGCCATTGCCCAAAGCCTAGCTGAAGTCCAATCTCAGCTTCCCACAAAGAGGAGTGTGGGCTCTTGTGGCTTTGGCAGAGGGGTGTGGGAAGGCTTCAATGAAAAAAGCCATCAGATATGACCAGGAACCTTGCTGGAGTCCCGGTATAACAAACACCAGTCACCTGCATCTCATTTCTTCTGGCCACTTCTGATAATGGGCTGGAGCTATGGTGGACAGATGTGGGCATTCTGATGCCACCCACTCTTCAGTGTCTACTGTGTACCTCCCCACTTTCTATCTTCACAACTGATGTGGCCCCAGCTAGACCAATGTTGAACCAACATGATCTTGACCCATAGTAAGAATTATATTTTCAGCCGGGCATGGTGGCGCACACCTATAATCTCAGCACTCGGGAGGCTGAGGCAGGGGGATCGCTGTGAGTTCGAGACCAGCCTGGGCTACATAGTGAGTTCCAGATCAGTGTCAACTACATAGTGAGACCCTGTCTCAAAAAAACCAAAACAAAACAAAACAAAAAAAAAGAATTACATTTTCACACTGTTATCCAGTACATACATATATATATATAATGGAAAACAAAATTACATAGCACAATATTTACCCTCACTATGTGGATGCACTCTGTTGTTTTTATTCTATTCTCCTCAATTCTTTGTTTGAGGATGGGTTTTTGTTTGTTTGTTTGTTTGTTTCTGGTACTGGGGATTGAACTCGGGACCTTGAGCTTGCAAGGCAGGTACAGTGCCACTGAGCTAAATCCCCAGCTCTGGGGTTGGTTTTTTGATTTGTTTGTTTTTGTTTTTTGAGAGACGGTCTCACTCCAGGCTGGCTTCTGATTTACTATGTAGCCCATGCTGGGCTTGAACTCATGACCCTCCTACCTTAGCTTCCCAAATGCTGGGTTTACAGGCTTGTGCAGCCACACTTGACTTATTCTCCTCAGTTCTAACTAAAATGAAGCAAGGCTTCTGGGGAACCCACTGGATGGACTGGTAATGCACTAGTGAGTAGTGCTCATCTGCATGCTACCTCCTGGCAAAGGAGAACGGTGTGCTGGTGGGAGTCCTGTCTCTGGCTCCCACCCACTGTGAACAGAACCCCACTTCCTCTCATACACCAGACAGCATTTCAGAGCTAACAAAGCACCTTCCTGGACACAATCCGTTTGACTCCAACTGGGTGCCCTGACGGTATACCTATGATTCCTGTTTTCTGGGGTGGAAACTAAAGTTCAAAGTCGTGACTTGCCCTGTCTCAGTTATTTACAGTCATAGGTGAAGCTGTGACTTCCATCTGGATATAGCTTGTTCCAGAGCCCATTTTCCCAGTATGTCACTGCCTGCCCTGCTGGCAGATTCTAAGCTAAGCCTGGACTTTGTATAAACCATCTGCAAGACCCTGTTTCAGGGGCTGCCAGTTTCCCCAATGTGGCTCTAACCCTATCTGGGGACAGTGTGCCTTTTTTAAACACTACATCGAGGAATGAGGCGTGCTCCCCACCCAAAGCTGCAGATGTGGGCCTGTGAAGAACTGAGTATAGGACAGGTCATGGGTTATACTTTTTGACACAGATGCCTACAGGACATGCCCTGGGAGCCTGCAGAGGGAAGAACCCAGGAGGGCTTCATGAAGAAGCCACACTTGATCTATACTTCAAAGGACATACAGAATGTCAAAAAGGAGGGAGAGAAGGGAGACAACATTGCAAACCAAGGGAATTACCTAAGCAGAGACTGGAGGACATAAAAATTGGGAGGATATAAAATCAGTTACACAGCAGGTACCACATTTTGTCCTTTGTGGACATAGTGGCTAAGTCATGGGGAACTGTAGGTGTTGTGGAAGTTTGTTTTTGGTCATGTCCCCCAACCCCCGTACCCAGGATCAAACTCAGGACCTTGTGCTTGCAAGTCAGGTGGGTACCACTGAGCTTCATCCCCGGTCCAGTATTGTGAAAGTTTGGGAGGTGTTAGGGGAACTGTGAGTGATAGTCCAAGGTGTGAGACGGCTCTGCTAACCAGATCTTGGGTCCCTTTTGAGCCTGAGGACTCCATCTCTTGCTCTATTCTAAGATCCAAGGCAGGGAGCCCTTGACCTATTACAGGTCTGCAGGGATTGACTCGGGTCTCTTCTTGGCTCCACAGGGGATTCTGTCATCCAGAATGCATCCAACAGTGGAGTAGGGCAAGCAGTCATCCAGATCGCCGCAGCCCTGGGCCTGAGGACCATCAATGTGGTCCGAGACAGGTGCGTGGGGAGGCCTTTCCACCTCGCATCCTGCGGATGCCCTCATCTCCACCAGATGGCGCCCAAGCATAAGCACAGATGGCCTCCTTGATGGTTCCCTAACAGTTGTCTGCTGAAGCAGATGAGTCACCCAGAAAACTAGTCCAAGTGGCTTTAAACTATATAGGAAGAGTGAACTCGGAAACGTAGAGATGGCAGGAAGAGGATGGAGACTGCCCTTGCTGAACAGCTGAGCAGTGTGGAGACTCAGCTTGTGATTACACCCCCCTACCCCCATTTTCAAAAGGATAGTTTGTATTGGGGATGCTCTGAGCTGTGCTGTCCTTCCTGAGAACTGTCTGCCCAGGACCCCTTTGTCCTGGCATTTGTGTGCTAAATATAGATGTGAAGGGGATGGGGTCTCTCTCCTTTATCAGGGAGGAAACTGAAGTTTCAGAGGCAGGAAGCGGCTCACCCAGGAGGCGCAGCAAGTCGGTGGCCCGCTGCTTCTCTTTCACCAGCTCCATTAAGCCTTCCTGTCCATAAGCGTGGGCTTGTCTGTCATGCGGGTCCAGTCTTAGGAGGAGAAGTGATTCTCACTTGGGTTTCACGTCCCCTCAGTTGTGCTAACAAAAAATAATTCTGTTTTCCTTGGCCAAAGAAGCCTGGGCCACTCCTAGGCTAGAATATGTTCATATAACGCCCCAAAGAACCCCTTGAAAAGAGGGGAGGAAGGACGTGGAGTTTGTCATTTCTCAGCTAAGGATCTCAGGAGGTTTCAAATGGTTTCTCCGTGGGCACAGAAACCTCCCAGCCTGGCTCTGCCCAGTAGAAATGGCCCAGGAGGAAATGAAGGCAAGAGCTTTGGAGCGTGATTCAACCATGTGGCTGACACCTGCCCAAAGCCTGGCCCGGACTCAGTCCCAGCTTCCTAAAAACAAAATGAGGGTTCTCACAGCTGTGGCACAGGGGTCCTGGGAGCTTTGGGAGAGAGAGTGAACAGGTGACCGGGGACCTTGGATTGTGTTTGGTTTCCAGACCTGACATCAAGAAGCTGACGAGCAGACTGAAGGATCTGGGCGCCGAGCACGTCGTCACAGAGGAGGAACTGAGAAAGCCTGAGGTGAAAAACCTCTTCAAGGTACCTAGGAGGAGGGCGCTACCCCTCCACACCATGCTCATGTCCCCAAGAACGCTGACTTGAAGTAGAAGAGCCAGGGACAGGGCCCATTTCCTCTGTCTGCAAAACCTCCCTTCACCTCTTTTTCTTTGTTGTTGTTGTTTGTTTGTTTGTTTTTTGAGACAGGGTCTCACTATGTAGTTCAGGCTGGCCTGCAACTCATGGCAATTCTACCTCAGCCTTCCCCGTGCTGGAATTACAGGCCTGTGCCACCACGCTTTTATCCTTCACCACTTCTTGGAAGGATGAATAAAGCCCATTTCCCTCAGCCAGGACACAGAGTACATTTAGTATTCAGGTGAGAGAGGTGGGGGAAACAAAGTTGAGGAAACCCTGTGTGATTTGAAGTTTGAAACATTTGTGACAGGCCACATCAGCCCACACAGTGGGTGTGAATCTTAGAGCTAGAAGGGACTCTGAGGAAACTAAAGCACAGAAAGGAAAAAAGCAGTGTTTCCTAAGCCTCTGCCTCACATTTTACTTGATAACCCCCAGGAAAGCCCTACAAAGTAGTTGTCATCGGTTGTAGACAAGGAAATACAGGCTCAGAAAAGGTAAAGGACTTGGCTAGGGCCGCAGGTCTGTAAGTGGTGTATTCAGGGCTGGCCCCAGGTCTCTCTGAACTCAAAGCCCCAGCCTTGCCAGAACATCTGCCCTTCAGCACACTCTGTAAGAGCAAACCCTGGCCCATGTCTCATCACTGAACCATGGAGAAAGAGCAAACCCACACACTCAAAGGCACTGGCCTCTGTGGAGCCCTTCTGAAGCAGTAGATCAGATCAGCACACTGCATACAAACTATGTCTAAGCTCTGAGCAGAAGAGCATTCAGTGTCTGCCACCCCTCAAACCTACACACACCCGTGCTCCTTGTCTCTTCTTCCCTAGAGGAGGCGAGCTCTGAACCAAGCCCTGAAATGGACCACAGCATAAAGTTGCTGAAGTCCCTTCCTGGGCAAAGGAAAAAAACAAGTCCAGAGGCCTAAGCACCCCTTGTCCTTCACTCCCTCCTTGTGACACAGCTCTGGGGCAGGGAAGTGCTGTATGCAGTGAGCTTCAAGCCTCGGTGGACTGTGGTCGTCTCCTCACTGTGGTTCCTTCTTTTCCAGGACGTGCCCCAGCCCCGGCTTGCTCTCAACTGTGTTGGCGGGAAGAGCTCCACAGAGCTGCTGCGTCACTTAGCGTAAGGACCGTCCAGTGCGGGGCCAGTGTGAGCTGAGGCCGGGTTAGCAGGGAGGATGCAAGTAGGAAACAAGGACCAACTCATACAGCTCTCTGAGTGCTTCTTTCTCAGGCTCTTCCTCTAGGTGACCGGGCTTTATTTTTCCCAGAACTACACAGCTGAGCTCTACATAGGGGATTGGTCATGGTCTCCTAACCTAGGGGCCTCTTAAAAAGTCACTTAGTCCAGACTTATTAGCTTTGAAATGCTTTATTGGCTTTTAAAATTGCATTCTCATTTACAGGTAACATGCCTATTGCACAACATTTCGAAAGCACATAAAAGTATAAAGAAAAAGTAAACACAAAAGTTCCTGGTCTTCCCCCATCCAAGGGGGTGAAACAGGACTGACAGGGTTCACTGCGTCCTCTGCTCTTTCCTGTGACATAAACTTGTGCGCCCACCCACTAGAGCAGAAGTAGTGAATACATGTGAGCATGGCCAGCCACCAGTGCAGAGAGGGCCGAGGGCACTGGGAGAGATGGCAGGTGAGCGCATGGCCGACAGTCACTGAGTGCTCACAAGGACCGGACAGAGCTAGACCTTCTCCTCCTGCAGCCTCAGCCCCTGGCAGGCAGGGCTACTATTGGAATTTCCTTTCTATTATTGTTGTTTTACTTTTGCTGCTCAAGACTGAACCCAGGGCCTCATGCATGCTGACTATTTGCTTTACCACTGAGCCACAACCACCCTGGCCAGGCCCCATCTCCATTTTATACTTGAAGAAAACGGGCCCAGAGAGGAAAATTACCTTGCCCCAGGTGTAGGCATCAGGGGAGCCCATTTTGAACCCAACTTTGCCTGACTCTGGGGCACACCTCTTCGACCCTGCACTCAGCAGCCTCTGAGGACGACTGTGAACCTGTGTCACTCGTCGTGTGCAGTGGTCACAAGTGTAGGATTGAGTTCACGCCTCTGTCTGCTACTACTAGCTGTGGATCTGTGAAAAAACAAGCCAGATCTCAGTCTCTTTGTCTATAAAATGGGAGTGATGGGAACACATTCTGCCTTCAAAGGTTAATCTGAGGGACTTAAGCTTTCTCATCTGCAAAAGTAGGTATCAAAGGGCTCCTTTTGAGACTATGAAGACTCATTGAGAAAGTAATTAACATGCTTAGAACTCTGCCTGCCACATTGTAGACACCCACATAATGCCAGGTGTTGTGACTGCCTAGCCCTGTGGGAAGACAGGAACTGCTTTCTAGAGCAAGCACCAGCTGAAAAACCAAATTAGGAGCTGGGATGTATCCCACTGGTAGAGCACATGCTTAATCTGTGTGAGGCCCTGCGTACAATCTCCAGTACCACACAGAGAAGACACACACACACACACACACACACACCCCAGACAACCCAGCAGCTTCAGGGCCGGAGGTTCCTGCCTCCCACAGCAGTGTCCTCCATGTTGTAGTTTTGTCTCTCTTGTGTCATCCCAACATTTGCCTCAGGTCATCCTTATGCAACAAGCTTCCCAAAGAGCCAGGGAGTGGGGAGAAGAGCAGAGGTTCAAACACTCATAGTCTTAACTTAGCAGCTTTTTAAAATTGCATTAGTATGAGCCAAATTAAAGCTCTCCTTTAGAAAAAATGCATTAGGTGCTCTCCTGTTTGCCAAGGTACGTGTGTAGGCATTAGCAGCCACTCACCACATCACCATACCTCTGGCCAGGAGAGGGCGCTCGTCACTGACTCAAACACAGTGCACACTTTTTTTTTTTTTTTTTTTTTTCTAAATATTTTTATTTCAAATCTTTTTCGGCCCTCCCCAAAAAGACATGGGTCAGTACAGCAATCATAAAAAAGAGATATAGGCCAGGTGTGGTAGTACACGCCTGTAATCCCAACACTCAGGAGGCTGAGGCAGGAGGATCACTCTGAGTTCTAGACCAGCCTGGGCTACATAGTGAGTTCTGGATCAGTCTCAACTACGTAGCGAGACCCTGTCTCAAAAAAGAAAAAAAAAAAAGAGGAAGAGAGATACAAATAAAAGAGTCAAATGTCTCCTGCACTGACACTTACAAAAACAGGGACTTGTACACGGGGTTTCCCAACAGGATGTTAAGCAGTTACTAACAAACATGCCTATAGATACAGTATGTACAGACAGCCCACTCTGGAACTAACCTCCTGGGACCCCAACTCCCTCTACTCCCAGAAAAATACCAGAACACACCCAGAGTGCATTTGTGTTATTTATATCAAAACATCTTTCCCTGTCCCTCCCGCCCTCAGACCTTCCTACCCCATTTAAGATTAGCCTGCAAGTCTATTTTAACCATTTAGTCATTTTTTATAGTTTATGAAAATATACAGCAACTACTTCAATAAATTAAGCACAAACAGGGAGAGAGAAAGAGGACAACTAAAGGGGAAACTTTGGCTTGGGGACGCACTGCTCTCTATCTGTAGGCTGTTTCCTCTCACTGACCTCTAGAATGAGTATTTACAGATGAAGAGACAAGGTCAGGACCACTTTTACTGCATTGCCCAACGTCACACTCTTGTAACAGGAGCTGAGCAGGGCTGGACTCCAGCTCTGACCTCTTTTCTATGGAGTTTGCTGATATCTAGCATTCAGCCAAAACCTGACCGAGTGGGCTGAGCCTGTGGTTTGCCAGCCCCTGGCTAAGCATCCTGGTCATCTTGCTGGAGTGTGTGGGTTTATGCGATTTGTTTTATGTGTGGTACTGGGGGTTGAAACCAGAGCCTTGCACTGAACTAACTACATTCCCAGCCCTTATTTTTGCTTTGAGACAGGGTATCACTAAGCCTCCCGGCTGACCCTGATCTAGCAGTCTTCCTGCCTCAACTTCCCAAGGACCTAGGATTGCAGACATGCACCGCTGCAAGCAGCACATGTTGTTTTTAATATAAATTCTTAACTTTTTTTTTTTTTTTTTTTTTTTGAGGTCACACTGAAGTTTAGGCCAACCTTGAACTCACTGTTTACCCCAGGATGGCCTTGAACTTTCAGCACTCCTCCTTCGGCCTCCAGAGTGCCAAGATTACAAGCATGTGCCACCACACCCAGCTGTTTGATTCCTTAGGTCAGGGATGAGGCCTGAGAATCTGTATATTTGAGCCCTTTCCAGGGATTCTGAGTGCAAAGTTTAGAAGTCACCGTCAGAACAGAAATGCCATGGTGAACCCCAGTGGGGCCTGCACTCCACTCTGTTCTCCCTGCCTCCTGCCTGCACCCACTCTTTATTCTCCCCGGATTTTCAGGCCTGGAGGGACCATGGTGACCTATGGTGGGATGGCCAAGCAGCCTGTCACAGCCTCTGTGGTAAGCTGGGGGCTGGAGGGGCCTGAGAACTGGAGCCAGAGGCTCCTCCCCTGCCGCGACACAACACTTGTCTAAACCAGCCCCATCCCTGGGGAGGAATCTTCCCTGAAGTGGTACCTGAAGCCCTTGCCCTCAGAGCCCCAGCCTGTTCCTCCTATGTCCACAGAGCCTGCTCATTTTCAAGGACCTCAAACTTCGGGGCTTTTGGTTGTCCCAGTGGAAGAAGAACCACGGTCCAGGTGAGTGGATGATGCCAAGGGCCACAGGGGAGGGCAGTGCCTAGCTTGGCTGCAGAAGTGATCAGCTGCCAGAACCCTGCAGAGGTGGTTGGGTCCCCCGCCGTGCAAAAGGATGAAGGAAAACAGCTTTTAGCCACAGCTGCAATCAATGAATCATCATGGGGCTGGACTGGGCTGGTCCTTAGGACAGAGTGTTAAATAGGGCAGACACGGCACTTGGCCTGTGGAAGACTGCCACAAAGACAGCACTCTGTCCACAGCCTGCTCCTGCCACCACCAGATCTAGGCTCTGCCTGCGCTCAACTCTGAAACCAAAGTCCTGCCTCTGTGTAAGCATTGAGATAGTTAAACATTTGGGACCCTACTTGATAGAAAAAGAAAGTGAGGTTCAGAGTGATCAAGCAGCTTGCCCAAAGTCACCCCAACTCTTTGGGAGTGGTGTAGCCAGGATGTGAGCAGATGGCTTCTCTGTGTCCAGAACTGAGCCAGCACACGGTTCCTCCTCCTAGAGGCCTGGCTTCCCAGAGTGTGACCCCAAGCCAAAAAGGACAAACGACGGAGTTGTCCTAGTGGAGGCATGCATAGGGGCATAGGGACTTTCAGGTGGAAAAGCATCATCAGAGGGAACGAGTGTGACTCAGTGGTACCACAGGTCTGAGCTGGAGCTGGGAAGCTGCACATGTGGGTTCTGGCCACACTGCGGAAGGCCTTGTGGACCTTTCTGAGGTGTTCTGAAGCCAGGTGGAGAGCCACTGAGTGCTTTTAAGCAGGAGGTCGGGTTAGAGTTGAGAGCTGAGTGAATTTATGTCTCTGAAAACGCCCTTCTCAGCCAAGGCCCTCACTTCCCATCTTCTGTTCCATGTCGGGTTCTCAGTGGGACGGCCGGCCCAGGGAGCGGGTGGTGGCCTCAGATCCGGGCTTCTGAGGGTCCCGGGCTGTCGGGGAGAGCTCCTATCTCCCAGCGAAGCTCCTCTCTTCTGCGTGCCCTGGCATACCAGGCCCCCCATGTCCCGCCTGGGTCTCTGCCTCAAGGCAATCCTGCCCCTCCCGCCATTCACTGCCAGGCTGCACCCCAGCACAGTCCTGTGGGTCTGAGCCATCCTGACCACCACTCGGGAAGGTGATCTAAGGCCACTCCCCATGCCCTTTCCACCCCGCCACTGCTGGCCTGGACCCAGGTAGAGACCAGGCTGCCTCCACCGCCACCCTCTCCTTGGCCAAGCCAGGGCTCTGGACACTACTAGAGCTCAGTGCCCACTCCTGTGTGCCATCTCACCGAGCCCTATCTGTTGGCCTTCCATCTGATGTCCTTCCTGCTTCCCACAGATGAATTCAAGAGGCTGATCCTCACTCTGTGTGACCTTATCCACCAAGACCAGCTGACGGCCCCCGCCTGCACTGAGGTCCCCCTGCAGGACTATCGGCGGGCCTTGGGAGCCTCCATGGAGCCCTTCCTGTCTTCAAAGCATATCCTCACCATGTGATCATCCCAAAGAGCCAGAGCAAAGCAAGAGGGGAGGCGGACCGCCGGGACTGACTGCAAGACCCTCAGGGGCCCAGACTGCTCTCTGTTCACTGCCCACCCCACCAGGAGGAAGAGAGGTCAGCCTTATAAATAAAGTCGGCTCAGTGGTGGAACAGAGCAGCGAGGCGCTAGCGCAGAGCGGGCAGCTGGGAAGAAAAATAAATAACTAAATAAGTAAAGTCTGAACACCTTTAAAAAATCATATGTAAGTCATCCCCGAGGAGAAGGAGCATCAGCATCACAGCGCACCTGCCGACTCACAGCAGTAAGAGGCTCCCTCCCTGCTCCTCCTTCCCCTGTTCCCTGGGATCATTTCCTGATCACCCTGAAAGCAAAGCCGGTCAGCATCTCTGCCCTCAAGCCCTCACCCACAGCAGAGAAGCTTGTAAAAAGGAAGCATGGTGATGCACTTATAGTCCCAGCACTATGGAGGCTGAGGCAGGAGGATTACCTGGAGTTCAAGGCCAGCATGGGCTACATAGTGAGTTCAAGGCCAACCTGAACTACAAAGCAAGACTCTGTCTCAACTCAAAAAAGAAAACAACAGCCGGGTATGGTGGCGCACGCCTGCAATCCCAGCATTTGGGAGGCTGAGGCAGGAGGATCGCTGAGTGTTCAAGACCAGCCTGGGCTACATAGTGAGTCCAGGTCAGTCTCAACTACATAGTGAGACCCTGTCTCAAAAAAAACAAAAGAAAACAGCAATCATGGTGTGGGCTGTGGGAGCACAGCTAGGGCCTGGGGTTGGGAGGCTCCCTCCGGGAGGTGCTAGCAGCAAATGGACTCTGTAAAATGAGTAGGCTTCACTGAGGCAAGAAGAGGGCTATGACTTCATGTGACTTTTTGGTGTTTGTCTCATGATCCACTTGCCCAAAGCAAAGACTGGATAGCTCCTTTGTCACCTGGCCCTCTGGGCCCTTAACTTAGGAGCTATATTCAGGGAGCTTTTATCAGATACCTGCTGTCCAAAGCTGCCATTGGGCTGCCAGGGAAAGATGTAGTGCTTAGGCCTAGTGCAAGAGACAGCATTATAGCCAGGGATTTGGCTGCCTCACAAGTGCAAGGGCCGGAGTTTGATCCCCAGTACCAAAAGAAAAAAAAAAAAAGAGAGACAGCATTACAGTGTGAGACCCCAGCACCAAGAAAAAAAAAAAAAAGAGAGACAGCATTACAGTGTGAGGACGAGACTCTTGATTGGGGTGGGGGCCCAGGGCCTCGGTTCTGCCTGAGGGTATCAAGGAAGGATGCCTGAAGGATATATCCATTTAAATCAGTTTGGGGTTTTTTTTGTTTTTTTTGAAGTTTTGTTTTGGTTTGGGGGATGTGTGGGTGTGTGTGCGTGTGCACTATGGTCTATTTGAAAACCTCCTGCCTCAGCCTCCTGAGTGCTGAGATTACAGATATGCACCACCATACCCAGCCATCCACAGAAATCTTGAAGACCAAGAAGGAAAAGGTACTAAGCAAAGCCAGCAAGCAGCATCTGTGACGGTGAGGAGGCCCAAGAGGTCCTGTTACTTAGGAAATTGCAGTCAGGTATAGCTGCTGCCTCGGGGGAAGGAGAATTAAGGTACTAACAGTGGGAAAGGGGCAGATCACAAAGGGCCTTAGAGTCAGGACCCCCCCAAGAAGGCTTGGATAGAGGTGGGGAGAGCACAGAGGGAAAACTGGCTGGGTTTCATTTTCCGCAGATGTGCAGGCAGACCCCTCTTACTTTTGGGATCATCTGTGTGTCCTCTGGAGAAAGGACTCAGCTTCAGCCTGGGGCTGTGAACGCTGTCCAGGTCCTGTCAGAAATGCTGCCACCTCAATGCCTGGGCTGAGGACCAGCCCTAACTCCGTCGTTTAGGTTAGTGGCCCGGGTGACCTGTACTGGGGGTCCGTGTAGGCAGGTGAAAAAGCCTCAGAGCATGGGCAGGCTGCCCGGAGGCCGTAAGAGTGAAGGATGAAGCTCTGTGGGGGAAATCCACAATTGTGGGGCTTGGGGAAGGACACCCTGTGGCCAACTGTGAGCCAACTGGAGGAGGAAACATGGGAAGGGGGAAGGTTCACGCCATCGCTGGAGACGTGGAGGAGCATGCAGAACAGCAGTGCTGGGGATTGTGCATTGTGCCTTTAGGGGTCTGCAGTGTGACTTTTGTGCTGGGCCTCAAAGGATGGGTATAATGTACCCATTATAAGACAAACATTACCCTCAGAGACCAGGGTAGGCGAAGTTCCAGAAGCAGGTCATTTAGGTCAGAACCTTCTAGTTTTCCCCCACATACCCACCTTCATTAGAATTAAATCCTACCACCTTCACAGCGGGTGAGAGAGAACAGCGGGTTCCCTTCCGAGGTCTGTTTTGTGTGATGCCAGCAGAAGCATTACGTGTCAGTTTCTTAGGCTTTAGCATGCAGCTGCCGTGCACCCTGTACCTTTGCTTCCCCTCTCACCTTCCTCTTAGCCGGAATACATACATGATTCCCAGAATGTGCACAGTCATCTTTGGCCAAGTTCAGAATGGGACAGCAACGAGGTCAAAGGTGCCCGGGGACCTGACACCAACTGTGTCTCCTTGAGCCCCTAGCATTTGACGGTCACCTGGCCCCAGTCCCAAGTGACACCATTCAGTGATTTAGCTTACACTGCAATCAAGTCAACCAATCTGAAGCTGAAAGGGGGATTGTGGCAGGCCGTGATTCCTAGCTAAGAAATTTAGACCATCCTATTCACAGGGAGGGACGAAAGCGCTCTGAGCCAGAACTGCGCTTTGGAAAAAATCTATCGGGCAGCAAGCTGGGGAACAATTTGGAAGAGGGAGGCCCTGAGGAAAGATGAAATCATAGATTTTCAGGCTTCTTAATTTCAGATAAGTAAACCTGCCACACTCCCACTGCTCAGCAGCCAAGTTTTGAAGACCAACCAAAGGCTGCAACATTTAAGAGACTAACAGAGGAAAATAAACAGAAACACTGTCCGAAGGGGACGTGTCCACATGCAGTAGATCGTTTCTCATTTTCAGACCAAATCATCTCTGTAGAGTTGGAATAGCTTTTCCGGCCCACTGAGTAAACAACCCCCTTTGTAAATGGCAAAAGGAGGGAACTTTTGGCTCCAGAGCTGGAAGATAAACATGCACCCTCTCCTAGGGCGAAGCCTGAGTCCCCCTGGTGCCCAAAGGCTGCCTTACTGCCTCTCCCATCCTCTTCTGGGAGCATCCACCCTGCAACTACTGCGGCAAGTGCCACAGTGTTGATGAGCGTCTGCATCTCGGGAGATGTGATGATGAAGCCTGCTTACCTCAGGGAAAGACTGAAGCCCAGAAGAAAGGTCTCACAGGAACTTGTGTGTTCTGGGAACTTGTGCCTGGAAGCAATCAGCAGCACCCACAGGCTATCGGCAGGAGCTATGCCCTGGGTGAGGCTCTGGGTCCGGCCAGAAGAGCTGGCAGTGGCGGAGAAGGGAGGCTCAGTGCTGGCACAGCATTTACCTGCATCTGTAGACAGGAAAATTGGGGGAAGACAGCAGGGCTGGCCTGAGGGTAGGTAGAAGGAGACACTGGCATCTGATGAAAGGGAAGAGGGAAGCCTTGTTTATACGCATAACCCTTTCCACTGTTCAAGCACTTTCACACACATCCTTTGATGTTTACAACTTTACCATTTCATTGAAGTTTTGGGGAGGTTTTCTGTTTGGTTTGTTTTTTTAGTTTTTGAAGAGTTTTTCGGGGGTGGGGGTTAGTATCAGGAAGCAAACTCAGGACCTTGCACTTGCCAGGCAGGCATGGGGCCACTGAGCTACATCCCTGGCCCACTGCTGAGCTTTTGATCTCACCACGGTCCAGAAAAGGAAGCCCTGAAGAGAAGTGAGCTAAGTTGCTCTAGGGTCACACAGCTGGTAGCAGAGCTGGCACCAAAAACCAATCAAGTCCCCTCAACCCTATGCAGTCCAGCATAAGTCCAATTTCTTTTGACTTCATAGCTGGGCTTGGAGCTCCCTCTCTTCCCAGAATTTCTTGATTTTGTTCTTCATTTCCCCCTCTGGTACTGGAGATAAACCCAAATCATCACACATGCTAGGCGCATGTTCTCTACTACTAGGTACATCCCCATCCCTTATTTATGTAGCTAGTGATTTGTTTTGTTTGGAGAGAGGATCTTGCTAAATTGCCCAGCGGGCCTCCGGCTTGTGATCCTCCTGTCTCAGCCTAACAAGTAGCTGGGATTATGGTTGTATACCACCACGCCCAGATTTTGCCCTTTTCATTTCACCTATAATTGACATGACAGGAAGAGAGTTGGAATTCCCTAACTCCGTGTCTCATGAGGAGGCACTAAAAAAGGTGAGGAGGAGGAGGCTACTGAAGTAGTCGAGGTGAGAGATCACTTAGTACTTCAATAACTATTTTGAGCCAGGCATGGCAGCACACGCCTGTAATCCCAGCACTCTGGATGCTGAGACAGGAGGACTGCCACAAGTTCAAGGTCAATTTTGGCTACGCAGTGAGTTCAAGGCCTGGCTGAACCACATAGGGAGACCCCTGTCTACAAAAAGAGAAAAAAAAAAAGCAATACCATACTATAGAAGGAATTTGAGATAAGGCAGGAAAGGAAGGTCTGAGGCCTGGAAAAGGAACTGGTCAGATTCTAGGGAGTGGTAGCAGCATCCACAGAAGCCCTGATGTAGCTGGGCATGTGGTATTGCACACACCTGTAATCCCAGCACTCTGAGAGGCTGAGGTAAAACACAAGTCTGAGTCCAGCCCGGGCAACCTAGCTACTTAGCAAAACTCTGTCTCAAAAAAAATTTTTTTAAAGGGCTGGGAATATAGCTCAGTGCAAAGTCCCTGGGTTCGATCTCCAGTACCACCAAAACAAAAAAGCCCTGCTGTGTGAACAGTGTAATGAGGCCTGAGATAGGTTAGGAAATGGGAATAAAAGTAGGGGTAGATAGAAGGGAGAGTCAAAAGGACAGACTGGTTGTGGGAAGTGAACTTTGGCACCCTGCTAGACAGATGCCACTTCTTGAGTTAGGAAACTGGAGAAAGCAGGTTGTGGAGATGGCATGTTTCACCCTGTAATCCCAGCATTCAGGAAGCTAAAACAGGAGGATTGCAAAGCCCAAGCCTGGCTTGTGCTACATGAGTTCAAGGCCAGCCTGAACTAAATAGTGAGACCCTGTCTTCAGAAACAAAAAGATTAATACTAGTTCTTTTTAAAATGTATGGGTCAGGGGTTTAGCTCAGTAGTGCCTCGCCTGCCTGGCAAGTGCAAGGTCCTGAACTTGATTCCTCATACTGGAAAAACAAACAAACAAAAAAAAATGTATGATCCTAACCAGGCTTATAATCCTAGCACTCTGGGAGACAGGCAGGATGGCAAATTTGAGCCCAGCCTGGACAACTTAGCAATTTAAGAAGACCCTGCCTCAAAATGAAAAATGTTAAAGCTGGGGATTTAGCTCAGAGACACCACACCTGCCTTGTAAGCAAAAGGTCCTGA